GGGGGGTGTTTTAAGGTGGCTTATGAATCCGTTTTGAGAGCAAGTACCCCTGCCCTGGTCCGTCGTGTGGCTTGTTGCCCAGCTGAGGGCGCCCGGGAGCTATCTTCGCGCGATGGGGCGGTGCTCCCATCTTCTGGCGTCGCGGTCGCCCGCGGCCTTGCTCGAGTATCCGGAGACGTCGCCTTGCTGGCCGACTCGGAGTGGCGCCACTTATTGTGGGCTTGCGCTGGCTCAGCTGCCCGCTTTGCCCCAATCTCTCCCCTGCCTCCCGCGGGGCCCAGTCTCGAATCTAGTTCCCCGAGACCGCTCGCGGCGTCGCCTGGCGATCCCGGGCCGGAAGTTCCGCCGGGCCTCCGATTGGATATCGCCGAGCTTCTCGAGGCGGTCGGCGGCGCGCGCGCGGAGGCACGGGCGGCGGCTTCGGCGAAGTCGAAGGCTTCGCGGCAAGATTCGGCGAGGGAAGGGATCATCGAGGGCGTAGGGGCTGCCCGGAGAGCCATTCGCGACCCCGGGCCCCGGCCCCCCGCGACCGCCCCCGCGGCTGGAGGCATCGTTGTGGCTGGCCCGATGGCCCCCTTGGGCTGACACAGGTAAGGTCGCGCCCATTTGGAGGGGGGGCGTGATGGGCGGGGAGTTGATGGCGAGCCTCTCTCTTCTATGCCGTTGCTGGAACCCTCTGAGTTGGGTGCTTTTTCTCTCAGAAGTATCGATGTTCTAGCGCCGTCAGCGCGGGCGGCCTTAATGGCAGGATTTATTTTCTCGCGACGAGGTTTTGCGCTACTTGATTCCGCGGCTGTGCGTCGTGGGGGCCGCGTGGCCCCTGCCGCTTCAGATCCCCTTGTCTCTGGCCCTCTTGGGCAAACCCGCTGGGGTTTCAGGTCCTTCGGGGTCTCCCCGAGCTGGCGCCGTCTCCGGGGTCGTGCCCGACGCGTCTGCGCTCGGCTCCGGGGGGCCGCCAAGGAACCCGGGGGGGGCTTTGGGCGGCGGGGGCCGGCGGAGGGCTTCGGGCGCGGCGTGGGGGCAGGGCTGCAGGGCCGAGGTCGGCCCCAGTCGCGGCGAAGTGTTGACCTCCGTCTTTTGGGATCTCAGGAAGCACTCTGCGCGCATCGACTTTTAAGTGTCTTTGCGGCGTGTGCCGCCGGTTGCTTCCCTCTGGGCATCGCCGGGCTCTCTGTTCGGTCCGATTTGGTTGCCGGGTGCATTTCGTTAGGTACTTTTTGTCTTGTGCCCAAATTTGGTCTTTCGGTGCCGACTGCGGGGTGCGCCTCCGCCGCCAGTTTGATCGGGGTCTCCGCCGCGGACTGTTTCGAGTCCGTTCCTTGGCCGCCATGCTTTGATTTCGACGCGTGTATCGACGGCCCGGGACTTGGCTGCACGGGCGAAGCTACGGCGGTCGTGCGGGCCCTTGCCACTGGAGCTCGAGCTCTACATGCTGGCATCACTGAGGTGTCAAGCTGCAAGCTAACTATGGATAGGGCTGGGATGGTCGCCAGTACTAACGGTGTTGCCTCTGAGCTCATCCAGGTTCTGGGCCCCTTCTTTGACCTCGGTGCTGATTTTCCTGCTGGGAGGGCGGCCCGATTCCTGGGCAGGAGAATGGTCGCCAAGTTCGGGTCTCAAGAGACGGGGGTCAATGCAAACGGGGGTCAGCCAAGGCGCCGGATCTTGCAGAGTCCCGCAGGGCCGGGGGCGCATTGACTCGGGCTTGGGCGCGGGATCTCGCAGGCTTCTGCGAGGCCCTGCAGGGCCATGGTCGCGCTGGCCCGGGCTTGGGCGCAGGATCGCGCGGGGTCCTGCAAGGCCCGACTGACCCGGGTCTGGATTGACCCGGGTCATAAGATCCCCGACAAGCCCAAATCTAGGATCGCTGCAGCGCTGCGCATGGCCAGGGCGGTGACGCCCCTGGTCGGCACGCCCTTGCGGCGTTTGCTGCTGGCCCCATGGTTGGTGCGACCTGCGGGTCTGACGTCTATGGGTTGTCCGACAGGGAGCTCGTCGAGCTGCGCAGGGCTTCTATGTCATGCGTGAAGAACTGCCCGCATGGCCGCTCGCTGTCCGCCCTTTGTCCTTTGGAGAATGACCCGCGTTGGCGCGCGAGTGTCGCGCCCGTCCTGGGGCGACCGAAAGAAATTTGGCATCGCCACGCGCGGGCCTTCTCTTGGTGTCTGTCTTTGGCTGGGCTCAGGATTGGGTGGGGCCTGGCCCCCCGCCGCGACGGTCATTCCCGGGGCAAGGTCAGAGGTCCGCTCGCGGCCCATCCGCATGTGCATTTGCCCTTTGGGTTGGACTGCGCTTGATTTCGCTGCGAACTGTGATGACTTCGGCATGGGGCATCTCATTGTCGGGTGGTGGTGTTCAGGAACCTTGAGCGGGATTCAGGTGAGCGCTGCGGGGTGGGGTGCATGTTGGGGCGTTGTCCTGCAGTTCCTGGCGTCGTCCAAAGTCGGCCGCAGGCCGCAGGCCGCCAACGCTTTCTGGAAGGCCGCCGGCGCGGCTGACGCTGGGTATGACGTGCCAGACGCTTGCCCGCTGTTGAACAATCGCTGCAAATACGCCTCGCATCGCCGTTTGTTCCAGTGCAGGGCACGCAGTGGCAGGAGCTGCTGCCTCAGTGGTGGCTTGAAGAAGCCCGAAGCGTCGACAGTCCACAATATGAGAGAGAAAGAGAGCGAGAGAGAGAGAGAGAGAGAGAGAAAGAGAGAGAGGAAAAGAGAGAGAGAGAGAAAACAAAAAGACAACAACAAACATAACTCTTCTTTTGCGGGTAAACGCATCCTGGGAGGGATGCCTCCCCACCCTTGTGTGATGGTGGTGTTTCGCTCGTGTGGCAAGCGCAGGGCCTTTCCCCCCCCATCCTGCTGGTGGTGATTAGAGGGTCGCTCCGGTTTTTTTTTTGAGGCTTCATCTTCATGGGCGGTTCGTGCCGACGTCATGTTGTGAGGGAGTTGTTTAGAGCGGGCTGGGCTGCGGTCTTGGATGGGGGAGGTGACGAGCTCCTGGGGACCTTCTGCGAGCCCCTCTGGGCTCCGTGGCCTCCAACTCCACCGGTCATGGGCCTCTGATGTCGCTCCTAAGATCGATTATTCGGTTTGTCAATACCTTGCCCATAATGTTGCTCTAGGTTCTGACGTTCTCTGCAGGAAGAGGCAGTATTCTTGTTCAGTGTTGCCAGGCACGGCTCATTTCGGTCAGAGTTTGCTCGCATTTAAGAAGGTGGCAACGCACAGGGATTCGGATGAAACCGGCATCTCAGAGGAGAAACGGCCAAGAATATTCGGTAATTTCTATGCTGGCCTCGCTGCAAAGGAGGGTGCGGACAGGCGCCCAGTCATTTCCCCTGTCGAGAAAGAAACCCTCCATAAGAAGCTAAATGTTGCGCGTTTGGTCCTCGCGGTGGGCTTTCAATTGCACCGCCAGGTCCCAACCCCTTCCCAGTACTCGCTCTCTTGGCCTGGGTGTTGGGCACCGTGCGTCACGGTTGGGTCCTTCTGGTAATGTCGCGTATGCCTCCGTGGCTCGCGTGCGCGCTGTCCGTCTCCCGGGGATTGTCCTGGGCATTCAAGATTGGACCAAGGACTTTTGATGCAGTTCGGGCTTAAGCTGATCGCTCTCCCGCTCTCTGATCGCTCACATTTGTTTGTGTGGCCCCCATAGAAGTTTTACAGCATCAGTGCTCCAATATTCAAACTCGGCAAAGTTTGTGGCCCTCCGACGGTCACGTCGATCCGGAACTGGAGGAGGCTGAAGTTTGGCCTTCGCCCTGATAAGTATCGGGTCCATGTGGTTATCCAAGATTTTGCTTCTTTGTTGTAAGAATTCAGCTGGTGGTGGAAGTGGTAAAGCGTCGTGACGCCCTGCGGGAGGCCGAAAAAAAAAGAATTTAGTGCCACCCAGAAGGACCGATGGCCCAGCTCGAGCGTCGAGCTGGAGCCACAATTTGAGGCAACGGCGTTACTGCCAAACAGGAGCGTAGGTAACATAGGGGAGGTGTGAGGAGGAACGAGGAGGAATGGAGGAGGAGGGAGAAGGAGGATGACCAGTGTACATCCTGGACGCATTAACGACGTTGCATTAAACCTCCCTTCGAGTTCCCCGCCTTTCATCGGTCCCTTCCAGGTTTTTTCATCGCGGGATGTGCCCCGTTGGAAGACAACCGCCGAAGAATTGTTCAACCGTGCCAAAACACCGTTCCTGGGAATTGAGCGTTACGAATCACAGTGATCGTAGCGTCCTGACAATCAAGGTTCGCGCCAGAGCACAAGTCCTGAGACTTCCACACCGCGAATCAATCCAACCGTTGCGTTTTGACAGTCCTAAGTCGTGCCAGAACACGTTTCCTGATGCAACATTTGAAAATGATCGCGCGCGGCGCCAACGCGATTACCACGTTCACACTGTTTCACCCGTCGAACCATCGCAAGCTTTGAGCGCGAACGTGCGCAACGTTCAGGCGAGAACCACATGTTTTAAATGGCCCGCCGTCCATCCCTGAAACTACTGCATCTTGAAGGCAAGCGGAAGCGTCGCTAAGGCAAGCATAGCATTTTGAAAATGGCCCGCCCGTCATCTGTGAAGCGGCTGCAACCGTTGAAGACGAATGTGCGCTGCGGTCGGGCGAGAGCTACATGTTGTACACGAGCCGCCCTTCATCCCTCAAGCTGTTGCAAGCTTCGAGGACGAATGCGTGCAACGCTAGATCGAACACCGCATTTTGAAAACGACCCGCCCTTCGTCCTTGAAACTCGCCCTCCATCCGTGAAGCTGATGCAATCTCAGGCAGGGCGAGGAAGTCTCAGGCGACAGCGCCCAGTCTGCCCCACCGACTCGCGTAGGGGTGCGACAGGCAAGAGTTATTCGCAAGAAGAACGTATGGAGGAGGAGGAGGAGGAGGAGGAGACGGAGGAGGAGGAGGAGGAGGAGGAGGAGGAAGAGGAGGAGGGGGAGGAGGAGGAGGAGGAGGAGGAGGAGGAGGAGAAGGGATGACCGCCCTCGCGCGCCTCCGAGGCTACAGCTGCTGGAGCAGGCCTGCGCAGACACCGCCCGGATGTCGGAGGCGCAGTCGATCCAGGCGGGGGTCTCGGCGGCACAGGCCCAGACGTCCTCACGCCTTGAAGAGTATTGCTTCGACGCGGAGATCCCCATGTGTGCATTTCATTTCCTGGCACGTCCCGCTGTGAGTGTCTGGCTGTGATCGCCTGGGTGCGAGAGAGTCTGAACGGACGGCGAGTGCGACGACGACAGCGTTGGCTACGATGGGGGACGGCGACGACAAGTCACGGATGAACAGGCGGTCAGCAGGCTCCCTCCCCTGCCCTTCCTTTTGCTACTCGTCGGGCTCTTTCCCTTTTTTCCTGTATCCTCATACTTTCTCCTCCAGCCTCCCTGTTCCGTCCTGGCGCCCTTGCTCTCCATTGCATCGACATGATTATGGATTATTGGGCCCTGGACGGACAGGGGTCGGATGTGCAAAACCGAGCGCCTCTCTCGTTCTCCCGATGCATCCCCACGATCTGGCCGCCCGGGGTGGTGAAGGCAGCGCCTCGCCCGAGACATCCTCGCGACCTCTTCTGAGAGCGCCGAAGTCCACGCCACCAAGCAGGCGAGCCGCTGGAGACATCCCCACGCTCTGAGCGCGACCGGGCCCGTGAAATCGCCCCTGGCGGCTCCCCCTCGGGCTCCTGAAGCCAGCGCCTGAGGCATCCTCGCAATCTGCCGTGGAAGCATCGAAACCCAAGCCACCAAGCAGGCAAACCGTCGCAGGCATCCCCACTATCTGGGCGCCAACGGGTCCGTCTCCCCCCTTGGGCTCCTGGAGCCCGCGCCTTGCCCAAGACATCCTCACGCTGTGTTCTGAAAGCGCCGACGTCCAAGCCACTAAGAAACATCCCCACAATATGGGCGTTAGCGGGCCCGTGAAATACTCCCTGGCGGCTCCCTCTTGGAGTGCTGGAATCAGCGCCTCGCTCGAGACATCCTCACTAATTGAGCGTGAGGCAAGCCTGGGGGTGAGGGGTCTGTGTGGGTGAGTCTGAGTCTGAGTGGGTCTGAGTGTGAGTGGCACTGAGTGTGTATGAGTCTGAGTGTGAGAGGTGAGTCAGGATCTGAGTGCATCTAAGCATGAGCGTTTCTGAACAGGAGTGAGCCTGACTGTCGAGTCTGCTGCACGAGTGAGTCTGAGCGTGAGTCTGGGTGTGAGTCTGAGTGTGAGTGAGTCTGAGTGTGAGCGAGTCTCAGCGTGAGTGAGTCAGAGTTTGAGTGCGAAGATTGGGGCGGGAAGATGGGATGAGCATGCGACCCAGTCACAAAAAGAGCCCCACATTGAGGATATGTATAATAGCTGCATGATTTTAAAACTTCCGGAGCTCCGCGCTGATTCCTCGGACCTGCGCCAGGCCAGGCCCAGACCTCCGAAAGTTTAGCACTCCTGGCGTCGTGAAGCAAGTCACGGCGGAAGGTTTTGGGCTGGTTTTGGTTTCTAGGGACCATCGCTGGGCTTCGTGACCGTCAGAAGACGAGCCAGGATGAGACGCCTGTCTCAGGTGAAGGGGTCGATTTGCGAAACACAGCACGACGTCGGATGTCTAGGGAGGGAGATTCCCGGATAGCTCCTTGGAGAGCTAAGAGGGCTTCAGATTAGAAGCCGGCAGGCAGGGCTATGCCAGCCCCTCTCCAAGGCTCCTGGGCAGGCATCCCCGGAGCAGTGCTTGAACCGGCAGCTTGTCCCGAGAGCGTTTTCGTACTCATTCCCAATGCGCGTGCGGGAAGCGAGCTCCTGGGGAGCTCCCGCGAACCCCCCTTCCCCGAGCTTGCAGCCTCCCCCCTACGCACCCTTTCCAGCGCCCTTGCAAGCGTCTCCGACGGGCATGTCGTCCCGCGCCTCGAGCTGCGCTGCTATCCGGGTTTTGGACGCCACAGGTTCACGATCGAGCTGATCGGTTCCGCCTCGCTCGGACGCCAAGCGGTCCGCAAGCTCGTCGTCGTCGTCGTCGTCGTCATCGTCGTCGTCGTTGCTGCTCTTCTTCGTTCTGCCGCTCGTCCACCTTCTCTTCGCCGTCCTCCTGCTCGCCCACCTCCTCCTCGGCCCTCTTCCGTCGTCCTCTCCCTCCCGCGCGCGCGCGCCCCGGCGGGCGGCAGCGCGCGGGGGGGAGGGCGGAAGAGGAGGAGAGAGAAAGCCAGCGAGCAGGGCGGGCGGGCGGTTGTCGTCGCCTCCCAGGCCTCAGACAACAAAAAAAACGAACACGTTTTTTGATCCGCGGGTCGAGAGCGCACCTCTTCCGGTCGAAGCTAAGCGGGCCGCGCGAAGCTTGAATTAACCAGGGAGGGGGAGGAAAAGGGGGGGCGCAGCCTCAGAACGAGGCCGGGAGGAGGCAAAGCCTCGGGATCAGGCGGTGCCGTCGCCGACGTACTAAAAAAAGAGGAACGAACACGTCTGCCACATTCATCTGCCAGCGCCTCCCCCTTCCCCCGTGTTCAGGGCTGGCGGCGGGTCTGACGAGTTGCGCCCACTTGGAGTTTTGGGGGGGTGGGGGTGTGTGTTCGGCATTTCTTTTCCTCTTGCGTCCTTTCCCTCTTCCCGCTCTCGTCGTCACCACCTCCCTCCCTCCTCTGCCTGCCCCGCACCCGACCCCGCCCCCCGGCCCCGCCCCCGCCACGCCCTCGAATGCTTCGGCCGTTGCCGCTCGATTCGAGCAGCCAAGAGGGGAGACGCGGCCGCTCCGGACTAACGCTCGAGTCCCGTCGCTACGGCAATCTCGAGCGCTATCGCGGCCAGCTGTAGGCAGCTGGCTGCTCAGGCCTGCCGATCCTTCTCGCCATTACTTCTCGCTGCTGCCGATCTTTCCGCTGCGCTCCTGTGGCTTCCCCGGGGCTTCCCTCCCGCTTGCCCGCTGCTGCCGCGGCCTCTTCTCTTCTGCTCCTCCGCCGCATCGGCCCTGCTTCTTGGCTCGTTGCCACCCCTGCTCCCATGCTGCTGCTGCCGCTCCACCTCCACCTCCTGCCCCTTCTCCTCCCTCTCCTCCTCCTCCTCCTTCTCCTCCTCCTCCTCCTCCTCCTCCTCCTCCTCCCTCCTCCTCCTCCTCCTCATCCTCCTCCTCCTCCTCCTCCTCATCATCATCATCATCATCCTGCTCCTGCTCCTGCTCTCCCTCCTCCCTCCTCCTCCTTCTCCTCCTCCCCCCTCTCCTCCTCCCTCTCCTCCCTCTCCTCCTGCTGCTGCTGCTGCTTCCTCCTCCCTCCGCCCTCCTGGGACCTGGCCCACACCCTAAGTGCGGGCCTCGCCACGTATTGCGTCTTGCGTCCTATGACTCCCTGCTCCCGCCTCCTCCTCCATCCTCCTTCCTGCCCTCTCCTACACTGCCACTCCGCTGCCCTCTCGTCCTCCTCCTGCCCCAGCTCCGTCGCCTCCCTCTCCTCCTCCCCCTCCTACTGCTGCTTGCCCCTGACAGGCCCCTGATGCTGCTCGCTCCTGCTCCTGCTCCAGCTCCTGACCTTGCTTGGTCAACCACAGAAGTGCGGACTTTCCTTGGGCGAGTCCAGGAGACCTCGGGCGTGCACCGCGAGCGTCTCTCGGATTAGCCAGGTGTGACACATATATTGGTATTGCTATCACACGGCAGGTCTCGCATACGGTCGGACCGAGGCATAAGATCGAGGTCGGCTCGTGGAGGGTACCTTACTGTCCTTCTTGCCTGTTGGATACTCTTGTGAATCCTGGGGTGGGGTACGTACCAGCCGTACCAGCGAATGTTCTTTCAGTTCGGCCGGCGAAGGGCCTCATGTTCTTGCAGGATGTCCTTCTGTCCTTGGTCTGGCCGTAGTTGCTGATGCTGGTGCTGCTGTTCGTCCTCCTCCCTGCTCCCACCGCGGCGCTCGGCGAGCGCGGTCTGTCCGCCCGGAGCACCGTGGGCGGCAGCCAGCGCTCTCCCCACCACCGGCCCTCGACCGGGGCAGCCGCCCCGAGAACGAGTGCGCCAGCCAGGGCCCGTGCGGTCGGCCCGAGGTACAAGGTCGAGGTCGGTTCGGGGAGGGTGCCCTCATTCTCTTTGCGCTTGTTGGACGCTCGTGTGCATCCTGGGGAGGATGCCGCTGGATGTTCTGTGTGTTGTGGCCCGCGGAAGGCGGCCGTACATTAACAAGCGCAAGGAGGGACGGTGGCGACGGCGTCGGACGTGGCGTCTTCCTCCTCAGCTTCCAAAGCGGTCAGCTGCTCTATCGTGGAGCCCCCTTCCTATCAGCGGGGCAGCCCGCCATTTTCAGGACATCGGCGTCTCCACTGTTTGCTTTTCGGCGGGGGCATGCGTCGCTTGGGCCGTCTTGGGTCGTCTTGGGTGTCCTAGGGCGCGGCGCGGCGAGACCACGTCTTCCTTATCTCCCTCCAAGAGGTGAGCGCGCCCGACGCCAGGAGGGCGCCCTTCGATCCGCGACACGTCCCCAGGGGTCCGCAGAGACTCTCGAACGTCGCGCGCGCGACTGTGCCCCTGCACGTCCTGGCACTTGGTTGGATGATCATGGGCGGACGGAGGGAGGGGGGTCGGAGGGAGGGACGGAGGGAGACGGGATGGAAGGAGGAGTCGGAGGAGGGATAGACTTATTCATGAAGGACGGGAGGAGGGAGGAGGGGAGGGAAGGGGGAGAGGCGGGGGAGATTAGGTCATGGTGTGGCCCTGCGCGGTGCTTGCCGTGGAGGGAAGGCTGTTTCCCCCTTCTCGCCACCTCCTCCCCCTGCCTCCCTTCCCCTTCCCTCGCCTCCCTGCTTCTCGGCAGCGAGCGAGGGGGGGAAGTGAGAAGGAGCAGACCTTCTCATCAGGCGGCGGGACTTCTGAGACGCCCTCGCGCCTTCTGAACAGTTTTCTGTGTCTTCGGGGAAGACTTAGACGACTTCTCAGGAGGCCGGGGGACTTCCGAGCCTTCTGAGAAGTCCCACCCCTTCTCACTTCCCCCTGGATTCGCCGCCGAGCTTCACCTTACGCCTCTTCCCTGCTTCCATGCTTGTTTCCCTCTCTCTCTGCTTATCTTTATCTTTATCTCTCTCTATATATCTCGTTCTCTGTCTCGTTCCCTCTCTCTCTCTCGCCCTCGCTTGTGGTCTAGCCCGGTCCCCCCACGCCGCCGCCGAGCCTGGGCCTCTCCTTCCCAGGGCGACGCCCTCTCGAGCGGCCTGGTCCGGTTCGCGGAGGCGGCCGCCCGGATGGCCCTCTCCGAAACGCGCGCCAGCGATCTTGTTATGAGGTAGGCGTATTGGGCTGGCCTCCGGCCAGTGCCGCCGATCCGGGCACCGAAAAACGTCGGAAATGACGTCGGAAATATCCCCGTGTACCGAAAAACGTCGGAAATGACGTCGGAAATAACGTGCCCCCCCCCCCCCTCCCTTCAGAGAGCGAAGCTTGAGCGAGCTCAAGTCACACGCCGGATCGGCGGATTTTCTGATCCTGCGAGGCAGGCGTACTCAGCGAGGATGCTGCTCGCGCCACTTCGGGGGAGGACCTCGTGGTGGGGTCTTGGTCCGGATCGGGCCGATCTCTGTTTCAGGCTGGCAGCCATGCCCAGATCGGCGTGCCCTGCACCAGCCACCGTTGCAGGTGCTCCCTCCAGGGTGAAGTCCTGGGGTCAGGAGGCGTTGACGTTGGTGTCAAAAACAGGCGTGCGCAGCGTGTGACGGGCATGTCGTGGGGGGCATGCGCAGAGAGCTGCCGACACACACGCACGCAAAGCCATTACCGAGCGTCGGCGTCCCGAGCTGCTCCCAGAATCCCGCCCCGCGGAGCAGAGCGACGCGCTATCCTCTTGCAGGGGATGGCGTGCCGCTGGGGCCGCCGCCTCGACACGCTATGCACTGTTTTGGACCGCACATCCAGTTTTGATACATATATGTATATATATACATATACATAAGTACGTACATACATACATACAGACACACAGACACACAGACACACAGACATACAGACATACATGCATACATACATACATTGGGATATCTGGATCGAGTGGGAGAGAGAGAGAGATAGAGAGAAACATGGATCGAGAGCGAGAGAGAGGGAGATAACGAGCAAGAGAGAGAGAGAATATATATGAAGCACAGTTCGAGAATGATATTTATATATACATATGCATACAAGACTGTATTGGCGCTGCGCGCCATGCACCGTGGTCCTTTGAGTTCTGCACGCAAGTGGAATGCGTACGTGCGTACATGCGCGCATGCATGTGTACACGCGCACGTGCATGCACGTTCCGTATAAATGTCTAGGTGTATACAATATACTTACATTATTGTATGTGTGTATACAACGTACATCTGTGCACATACACACATATATATATATATATGTATAGATATAGGTATGTGTGTAAGGGTATGAACATGCATATACAACTCGTACGGCGCATCCTCGGGCATCTCCGCTGCATGCCACGAGACCCTCAACGACTGGGTCACAATGAGAAATGTCATGGGAGCAAAATCAATGAATGTTGGCTTTCGGAAACTTCGTGGGGGTGTTTTCCGAGCCCTCGTGGGCCGTTTTGGCGCCTTCATGGGCCGTCCTGGGGCCTTCTTGGGCCGTCTTGGGGAGCTTGGGCCCGCTGGGGCCCCCTTTGGACCCATCTTGGGCACTTCCGGGGACCTCCCATGGCCCTTTTGGGTCTGTGCTGGGAGCCCTTGGGGGGCCTCTTGGTTCCATTATGGGCTGTCTTGGGGCTCTCGTGGGCGATCGTGGGGCCCGGCTCGGCCGTCTTGAAGCTTTTTTGGGGCCTTTTGGGGCGTCTTGAGGCGATCTCGGGGGCTTTGAAACCGTCTTGAAAGCTGATGAAATCCGAACGGCGAATATGCTAAATTTGTAAGTTTTACGAAGGGAATGGGACGATTTTTGTGCTTTGAAGGCCCCTTGGAAAGCTTGTTGGGGTGCCTTGGGGGTCTTCATGTTGGCATTCGGAAACTTCGTGGGGGTGTTTTCGGGGCCCTCGTGGGCCGTTTTGGCGCCTTCATGGGCCGTCCTGGGGCCTTCTTGGGCCGTCCTGGGGAGCTTGGGCCCGCTGGAGCCCCCTTTGGACCCATCTTGGACACTTCCGGGGACCTCCCATGGCCCTTTTGGGTCTGTGCTGGGAGCCCTTGGGGGGCCTCTTGGTTCCATTATTTGCTGTCTTGGGGCTCTCGTGGGCGATCGTGGGGCCCGGCTCGGCCGTCTTGAAGTTTTCTAGGGGGCCTTTTGGGGCGTCTTGAGGCGATCTCGGGGGCTTTGAAACCGTCTTGAAAGCTGATGAAATCCGAAAGGCGAATATGCTAAAATTGTAAGTTTTACGAAGGGAATGGGACGATTTTTGTGCTTTGAAGGCCCCTTGGAAAGCTTTTTGGGGTGCCTTGGGGGTCTTTATGTTGGCATTCGGAAACTTCGTGGGGGTGTTTTCGGGGCCCTCGTGGGCCGTTTTGGCGCCTTCATGGGCCGTCCTGGGGCCTTCTTGGGCCGTCTTGGGGAGCTTGGGCCCGCTGGAGCCCCCTTTGGACCCATCTTGGGCACTTCCGGGGACCTCCCATGGCCCTTTTGGGTCTGTGCTGGGAGCCCTTGGGGGGCCTCTTGGTTCCATTATGGGCTGTCTTGGGGCTCTCGTGGGCGATCGTGGGGCCCGGCTCGGCCGTCTTGAAGCTTTTTTGGTGGCCTTTTGGGGCGTCTTGAGGCGATCTCGGGGGCTTTGAAACCGTCTTGAAAGCTGATGAAATCCGAAAGGCGAATATGCTAAAATTGTAAGTTTTACGAAGGAATGGGACGATTTTTGTGCTTTGAAGGCCCCTTGGAAAGCTTTTGGGGTGCCTTGGGGGTCTTCATGTTGGCATTCGGAAACATCGTGGGGGTGTTTTCGGGGCCCTCGTGGGCCGTTTTGGCGCCTTCATGGGCCGTCCTGGGGCCTTCTTGGGCCGTCTTGGGGAGCTTGGGCCCGCTGGAGCCCCCTTTGGACCCATCTTGGGCACTTCCGGGGACCTCCCATGGCCCTTTTGGGTCTGTGCTGGGAGCCCTTGGGGGGCCTCTTGGTTCCATTATGGGCTGTCTTGGGGCTCTCGTGGGCGATCGTGGGGCCCGGCTCGGCCGTCTTGAAGCTTTCTTGGGGGCCTTTTGGGGCGTCTTGAGGCGATCTCGGGGGCTTTGAAACCGTCTTGAAAGCTGATGAAATCCGAAAGGCGAATATGCTAAAATTGTAAGTTTTACGAAGGGAATGGGACGATTTTTGTGCTTTGAAGGCCCCTTGGAAAGCTTTTTGGGGTGCCTTGGGGGTCTTTATGTTGGCATTCGGAAACATCGTGGGGGTGTTTTCGGGGCCCTCGTGGGCCGTTTTGGCGCCTTCATGGGCCGTCCTGGGGCCTTCTTGGGCCGTCTTGGGGAGCTTGGGCCCGCTGGAGCCCCCTTTGGACCCATCTTGGGCACTTCCGGGGACCTCCCATGGCCCTTTTGGGTCTGTGCTGGGAGCCCTTGGGGGGCCTCTTGGTTCCATTATGGGCTGTCTTGGGGCTCTCGTGGGCGATCGTGGGGCCCGGCTCGGCCGTCTTGAAGCTTTTTTGGTGGCCTTTTGGGGCGTCTTGAGGCGATCTCGGGGGCTTTGAAACAGTCTTGAAAGCTGATAAAATCCGAACGGCGAATATGCTAAAATTGTATGTTATACGAAGGGAATGGGACGATTTTTGTGCTTTGAAGGCCCCTTGGAAAACTTTTTGGGGTGCCTTGGGGATCTTTTGGGCCGTCCTGACGCAATTGGAGTCCCTCTTGGAGCGCTCTTGCGCTGTCTGGGGCCTCCCTTGAGCCTTTCTGATGACCCCTCGGATCGCTCTGGGTCTGCTGGCAAGGCGTTTGTGGAGACCCCGAAAGCCGGGTGACCTTTTCCAAGGACGTCCAAGGGAGCCCGAGAACCCCAGATCCCGGGGGTCCAGTTTTTTGGGGGTGGAGGGTTTTCCCCCCCCGGGCTTGTAAACATATAGGAAGAGGAATCTACACACACACATATATATATATATATAGAGAGAGAGAGAGAGAGAGAGAGAGTGAGAGAGAGAGAGAGAGAGAGAGAGAACGAGGATACGCACACACGCACACAAACATGCACACACACACACACGCGCGCACATACACACAGACGCGCACACACACGTGTGCAGACATCGGTATCTTTACATGTAATGAGGTATTGTGTCACATAATGAGAGTATGAGAGCGGAAGAGAGAGAGAGAGAGAGAGAGAGAGAGAAAGAGAGATGGAGAGAGAAAGGAGAGAAAGAGAGAGAGAGAGATAGAGAGAGAGAGAGAGAGAGAGAGCAACAGAGAGAGCGCGCGCTCGGAAACGACCACCTCTTCAGGCTCCGAGCGAACTAGAGACTTCAGAGCAGGTATCATACAGAACGGCGACGCGGACCACACGGCCCACTGCCAACACCAAGGCAAACCGCAGCCCCGCGAGCTCCAGGAGGGAGTCCGTGGATCCTCAGTGAAGGACCGTCTTCGGGCCCTCTTCGGCTGTTGCCTGGGGGCCCTCTTGGGCCGTCTTGAGCCTCTCTTCGGTTTGCCATCAGTCTATCCATGGCCCCCAGATCAATCGGATTCCACAACGACGAAACACACATGTTTTTTGTATAGATAAAATCAGAGTTACAGACGCTTCGCGTAATCCCATCAGCCCATCCAGGATTGATGCCCAGACGAGTTGCCCTGACCAGGGATGTGGAGGAGAACGCAGTGGAGTACAGGGGCTGGGCAAGACATCGTGCACCAAGAGCGGGAGGATGGAGGAGGAACCGGAGGAGGAGAAGGAGGAGGAGGAGGAGGAGGAGGAGGAGGAGGAGGAGGAGGAGGAGGGAGGAGAGGAGGAGGAGGGAGGAGGAGGAGGAGAGGAGGAGGAGGAGGAGGAGGAGGAGGAGGAGGAGGAGGAGGAGGGAGGAGGGAGGAGGGAGGAGGGAGGAGGAGGGGAGGGAGGGGGGAGAGGGGGGGAGGGTGAGGGGGGAGGGGGGAGGGGGGGAGGGGGGCGGGGGGGGCGGGGGCGGGGGGGGGGGAGGGGGGAGGGGGGGAGGGGGGAGGAGGAGGGGAGGGAGGAGGGAGGAGGGAGGAGGAGGAGAGGGAGGGAGGGGAGGGGAGGAGGGAGGAGGGGAGGAGGGAGGAGGGAGGAGGGAGGAGGGAGGGAGGGGAGGAGGGAGGAGGGAGGAGGGAGGGAGGAGGGAGGAGGAGGAGGGAGGGAGGGAGGAGGAGGAGGAGAGAGGGAGGAGGAGGGGGAGGGAGGAGAACATGAAGCCAACACCTTGGTAACATCAGTGATTTTGGCCATCGCGCCGAGGCCATCTTGGGCGCTCCCATCCCCTCGCGGAGCGCTCCCTCAGGTCCGAGGGAGCCGCTTCGCTGTATCAGCGAGTGGGGGCAGAGCAGGAGCGAGCTCGTCCGTGGCCGTTTATGCTCCGGTGCCGACATCAGAATCTGACCAGTCAGTGCGACTGCTATCTGAGTGCTCCAAATCCCTTATTCATCGACTCTCCCCTAAAAGACCAGACCCCCCTCCAAATGCGACCTGATTTTCCGGACCCCCTTCTTCGACGGGGCGCCTTCATAAACGGGACCCCCTAAGCTCCAATCCAAAGAAAGCGCCCTAGTAAACCGGACCCCCCCGGTTAGAAAAAAGGCGCCTTAAAACTTCGGACCCAGGGGACGATTAATAAGAGATTTTGGAGTAATACCGCAGATGCCTATCGGTCCTCCCATCATCACATCATGGCGAGCCTCAGCCTTGAGGCATCTGTTCGACTTCGTGCAGCTTCGCTGTGCCCTCATCGCCCTCCGCCCTCGAGCTCTCCTCCCCTCTCGTGGCCCTCTCCCCCCTCACCCGTGGCGCCTCTGTTTTAGGGTCGTCTGCCCAGCTCTCGCCGCCCTGCTCTGCTAAGGGCCTTCGTTCAGGGACCCCTTAAAGGATCCGGGGCTTTCTCGAAACAGCCTCACACCTGAATCATTCAGCGATGGGTCCCCCTCCGTTTCTCTCGGCGGGTGCGGCGGAGAAATAGTTATTTCCCACGAGTGGTGGGACCGCAGTCCGTCAATAAGATCGCCGAACTAAGTTGTTTCCACTATTCGAGAGGGGGGGGTTCTAAAGACCCGCTTCGGTGAAAGGAAGGTGCCCGTGACCCTTTAGCGGGGCAGCGGTTTTGGCCGCTGCGGGGGGGCGGGCTGCGACCCCTTACCTGGGGAGGGGCGTGCTCCCGAGCGTGGCGTTGGCAGCGCTGGGGCATCTCGTCATGCCAGGTGTCAATCCGGCGCCTTTTCGCGGCGAGTTGGGGCGCCACCTGCCCCGGGCAGCAGTTGGAGGCCCATGCGACTTTTGAACCAGCCTGCGCTGCTAGGGAGGGCTGGGGGTTGAGGGTTCGAAGCGGGCGTTTTGCAACAATGTCTTTTCGTTGTGTCTTGGGATGCTCCCTGGCGCGGCGCCGATCGTCGCGAGGCTGTTGTGCGATGTTGGAGGGGGGGCCGAATGGAGTGGCTCATCCATAACGTGAATGCGAAGGCGCCTCGCGCAAGTATTGAGCTCCGCTTTGCCGCCAGTTGCCTTGCCACTCGAGACAACGCAGTTGAAGCCCGAACAGCACGATTCCCAGCGGGCAGTGTGTCCTCTCTTCCCATACCCGTTCCGGGCGTGCCGAGCAGTGGTGGTGGTGGCGCGAGCGGCCCGCGTCGGAGGCAATCGCGGAGCTGCGGGGGCGCCTGGGGCCCGGCGCCCAGCTGCTGCCTGCTCCACACTCCGTGCCGGCCGAGACCGCGCCGGCACGGTCGCGCCGAGCGTGGGGCGGGCGGCCTGCCTTGGGCCGCCGCGCGGGGGGAGGGGGTAGGCGGGTGGGTGGGCGAGGTCGGGCGTGTCCAGGAGGGTGGTGGTGGCCCTCGAGAGCGTTGTGGCACCGCGCTTGTTTTTTCACAACGGGCGATCTCTGCCCTGACTCGGGCCCTGGGACCCTCACAGGTCGATCTAAGCTCGAAATGCAGCAGAGAGGTGGGGCCCAGGTCTCTGGTCGAGTTTTTGTTTACGATGTCCTCGGGGGCCGTCGCCACCAGGCCCGCACTCGCCTCGACGTCTTGATCCGGACGCGCTCCCAGACTGGTCCAGATGTCGAGTCTAAGGAAGGAAGGAAATGAGGAAGGAAGAAAGAAATGGAGAAGGAGGATCATGAGGAGGCGGAGGCGGAGGCGGAGGAGTAGGAGGAGGAGGACAGGGAGAAAGGAGGAGGAATGTCTGGAGGGGCTACGGAGGATGAGGAGGAGGAGGAGGAGGACGAGGAGGAGGAGTTGGAGGATGAGGAGGACGAGGAGGACGAGGAGGGGGAAGAGGGATGTCGGGGGGGGTCTAGGAAGAGGCGGAGGAAGATGGGGAGGGAGGGCGGGAGGGAGGGCGACGAAGGAGAGGCAGAGAGGAAGGTCGGGAGAGGAGGAGCAGGAGGAGGGGAGGGAGGACGGTGAGTAGGGGGAGTAGGGGGAGAATGAGTGGAGAAGGAGAGGATGAGGAGGAGGAGGAGGAGGACGAGGAGGGGGAAGAGGGATGTCGGGGGGGGTCTAGGAAGAGGCGGAGGAAGATGGGGAGGGAGGGCGGGAGGGAGGGCGACGAAGGAGAGGCAGAGAGGAAGGTCGGGAGAGGAGGAGCAGGAGGAGGGGAGGGAGGACGGTGAGTAGGGGGAGTAGGGGGAGAATGAGTGGAGAAGGAGAGGATGAGGAGGAGGAGGAGGAGAGGAGGAGGGAGGAGGAGGAGGAGGAGGAGGAGAGGAGGGGAGGAGAAGGAGGATCAGGAGGAGGAGGAGGAGGAGGATCAGGAGGAGCAGGAGGATCATGAGCAGGAGGAGCAGGAGGATCATGAGGAGGAGGAGGAGGAGGAGGAGGAGGAGGAGGAGGGAGAGGAGGAGGAGGAGGAGGCAGAGGAGGAGGAGGAAGAGGGGGGGGAGGGAGGAGGAGGAGGAGGAGAAGGAGGAGGAGGAGGAGGAGGAGGAGCAGGTGGAGAAGGATGATGATGATGAGGAGGAGGACCAGTGCAAGCCCAAGAGTCACCAACGATGTTGGAATAAGCCCTCCCCCCAAGCTCCCTCTTCGTAGGCCCCTACAACTGTTCATTTCCACAGAGGGACCTGCCTCGTTCGAAGGTATCCGTTTGAAGACCTTGAAGTCTGCCAACACATCGTTGTCGGTATTCCAACGCCACGGGTAAACCTGACTGTTGCGTCCTGCCGAGCCTGAAACGGGCCAGAACGCCATTCCTGGGTCGTCAATACCGAGAATCATAGCAACTGTTGCACCACACAAATCGTGAATCCTTGCAAAACTCAATTTCGGGTACGTCGATCATGGGATTCCGCTAAACTTTTGCAATTTTGTATCAAGAAAGTCCGCGGCGCTCAGACGATAGCCACAGTTTGAAAAGGAACCGCCCTCAATCCGTGAAGCTCTTGCGCATTTTGAAAACGAATTTGCGCTAAGGCGAGAGCCACATTTTGAAGACGACCCTCCCTCAATCCGTGAAATTCTGGGAGGTTTTGAACACGAATGTGCGTGGCGCTCAGACGATAGCCACATTTTGCAAAGGAACCGCCCTCAATCCGTGAAGCTCTCGCAAATTTTGAAAACGAATGTGCGCGGCGCGAAGGCGAGAGCCACTTTTTGAAGCCCACCCGCCCTCCATCTGTGAAGCTCTTGCATTTTTTAGAAAAGAATTTGCGCGGCGCTAAGGCGGGCGCCACATTTCGAACACCATCCGCCCTCCATCTGTGAAACTGTGGTTAATGTTTTTACGCTTCAGGGCCATGCATAATACGGAAATCTCCAGCGAAACGCCCTGCCCGCCCTAAACACTGGCCTCGGGGTACGACAGGGAGAAACTATTCATACGGAGAAGGAATGGATGAGGATGAGGAGGAGGAGGGGGGCGGAGGAGGAGGAGGAGGAGGATGGTTAGTGGAGGCGGAGACGTTGTGTGAGTAGCAGTACGATGAGCAGGATGATTACGATTACACGGAGTATCAGGAGGAGCTGCAGAGGGGGTATGTGGAGGTGGGCGGGGAGGACGGAGAAGGAGGATCAGGATAGCGAGACAGTCGTATTTTTTAGGAGGGGGAGGTTGTTGATGAGGCTGAGCAGTGACGAGGAGGCACCAATATGTGTGACTATTTAGGAGTATGGGATAACGGATGATGGATGATGATGATGCTGCTGATGGTGATGTTGATGATGTTGATGCTCATGCTGATGCTCCTGCTGATTATGTTGATTTTGATGAGAATGATGACGGCGATGCTGATGATGATGTTGATGATTATGATGAATATGATGATGCTGAGGATGGTGACGATGTTGATGATACTGATGGTGATGCTGATGATAGTGGTGGTGGTGGTGGTGGTGGGGATGATGCTGATGGTGTTGATGATGATAATAACTATGCTGCTGATGCTGATGACGAAGCTGATGACACTGCTGATGATGCTGATGATGATGATGCTCATGGCAATAATGCTGCTGCTAATGATGAAGGGTGATGGTGATGCTGATGATGATGCTGCTGCTGATGATGATGCTGATGCTGCTGTCGTTGATGATGCTGCTGCCGTTGATGATGATGATGATTACGATGTTGATGATGCTGGTGATGATGATGGTGGTGACGACGATTATGCTGACGATGCTGATGATGCTGTTGTTGATGATGATGCTGATGGTCTTGCTGATGTTGATGCTGCTGCTGATGATGCTGATTATAATGATGATTCCGATGATGCTGCTGATGATGATGATAACGTTGATGGTGATGATTATGACGATGATGACCATGACGATACTGCTGCTGATGATGCTGCTGATGCTGCTGCTGATGATGACGCTGATTGTGCTGATGATGCTGATGATGCTGCTGATGCTGATGAGGCTGATGCTGATGCTGCTGCTGATGATGATGAGGATGAGGAGGAGGAGGATGAGGGTGTTGATGAGGATGATGAGAAGGAGGAGGAGGAGAAGAAGGAGGAGGAGGAGAAGGAGGAGGAGGAGGAGGCGAATGCTGACAATACGTGGCGACGGTATTTGTTGATGAGCAGCAGGGAGAGACCGCTGAATTGGAGCTGTAGGTTCCGTGGCGGCAAATCCATGGGTGGCGTGCCTCCCGTTCGGTGGAAGTGAAGGTAATGAGTAGGATGGGTGTGCGGAGGATGAGGATGGAGGATGAGGAGGAGGAGGAGGAGGAGGAGGCGGAGGCGGAGGCGGAGGCGGAGGCGGAGGACGACGACGATCAATAGGATGAGGATGCTGTTGGCAATCATCATGACGACGACTATAATGACTGTGGTTATGAAAATGATGTGAATGCTGCCACGAATGATAATGCTGATGAGGAGCTGATAGTAACAATGCTGCTTCTGGTGATCGTGGGGGTAATACTGATGATAAGGATGATGCTGATGATGATGATGATGATGATGATGATGATGATGATGAGGAGGAGGAGGAGGAGGAGGAGGAGGAGGAGGAGGAGGAGGAGGAGGAGGAGCAGGAGGAGGCGGATGCGGAGGTGGAGGAGAAGGAGAGGCATATGGAGGAGCAGGAGGAGGAGGAGGAGGCGGCGCAGGGGCGCGGCCAGCCCGCGCCGCCTTCTGAGGGACGCCGGGCCCGAGCCGCCCGGCTGGCTGGAGCACGCCGTGGGCGCAGAGGCCCCCTGGCCGGCGCGGGCCCCGAGCGACGACGAGTTCACGGGCGCCCGCTCGCCCGAGGCGTGGCCCGGCAGACGGGGGTGGGGGGAGGTGGGGGGGCTCCTCAGGAACCCCCCATGCTTCACAGGAGGCGCGGGCCTTCTCGGTTCCAGGGCCGGCGCCTTCTGAGAAGCAGCCTCCCTCTGAGAAGCCTCCCCCCCCACCCAGACCCCCGACGTCGTGACTTTTTCGCAACGCCGACCCCCCGAGGTCCGGACCCCTTCCCCAGGACCGGCTTTTCCTCTCGAGTCGTTGGTGGACGGCCCCGGGGTCCGGTATAGGGCCCCCCCGGAAGCCGAAAATCGGGAAACACCTCCCGCCGTCGTTTCTTCACGACTCGAGGGGGTCCGGGCTGAGGACGTCTCACACGAATGCCATCCAGGCACGAGAGCTCCATGGAGACGGGATGCCCGGCAGGGCTCGCTAGGGAGCGCCGGGCGCTCGCTCTTTCCGCGGGGCGTGCGGCGAGCGGCTCCAGGGCCCTGAATGGCAGCGGTCAGCAGCAGTGCAACAGCAGGAGGAGGGAGGAGGAGAGAAGACAAGAAAGGATGGACAGAATGAGCGATGATGAACAAGAAGAGGAATGACGTCGATTCACACGGGCCCCCCCGCCTGGCCCCCGCTTGTGCGCGCCGCCAGCGAGGCGTGGCCGGCGGAGGGCGCGGAGTGGCTCGAGCAGGCCTGGCCCGCGGCCCCCCGGGCGGGGCAGCGCGGCGCGCCCGGCGCGGAGCGCTCGCCCGCGGAGGCCGCCACGGAGGAGACGGGCGGGGCTCGCCTGGACGTGGGACCCAGACCCCCCTCTCGCTGCGGAGAAAAAGACACGACGGGACATTTTTCCCTGTTTTCGGCCTCCGGGGGCCCCTACCGGGCCCCAGGACCGTCCACAAACGACTCAGGATGAAAAGCCGGTCCTGGGGAAGGGGTCCAGATCTCTGGGGGTCGACGTTGTGAAAAGATCGTGACGTCGGGGGTTTGGGGGAGAGTGACCTTTCGCCAGAGTGTCCTTTGGTGCGGGCCCAATGGAGTCTCCCGATCGCTGGACCCGGAGCGGAAGCAGCGGCTTGCGCGCCAAGGTTTGGCCACCCCGTGTCCCCCGTTAGTTCAGCCGCACACTAAAGGTCACTTTGCGTGTAGCCGAGAGGTTCGATATGGGTTTTGGCCGACTCGATCCGGTCGGATTTCGATATTCCGACGATCCGTTGATGTCCGATTCGATCTCGACTCCGTGCTATGCGGAGGTTCGCCCGCGGAGGAGGATTTATAGGTTCAGGGGGTGCATCGACCACGGTAAGGGGTCCGAAAAGCCAGTCCTGTGGCATGGGTCGAGACTCCCGGGGACACCGCATCGACAAACATCACGACATCGGACCTCTGGGATAAACCCCCCCTCGCCCAGGACCGTCTGGAGCTGCTGTCGGTGCCCTGTCGCCGAGCTATCGGCGATGCATCACCGATTCCAGCTCGATGTTTCCTTCGCCTGGGCCGATCCCCCTTTCACGTTCCCCTGAGGAAGGGGGGTCGTGAGGGAATTCAAGACATGGGCTTCGGTGTTTTGCACATGCCCTGGGAGGTCCTCTGTGGCCGCGGCTGGGTCCGCTTGGACATTTTAGCCCAAACTCACCCCAGGAGATGACGGGGGTCGGACTTTTCAGGGTCGCCGTGAAGAAAAAGGGGTTCCCAGGGAAAAGGGTTCCGAGTTTTTCCCCATATCCTAAGATGGGGTTCTTGTTATTACTTGGACGCCTCCTACTGCCTCTCCCTCCTCCTCTTTCCTCCTCCCCTCCTCCTCTTTCCTCACACTCAGACCTACTCATACTCAGACTTACTCATACTCAGACTTACTCATACTCAGACCTACTCATACTCAGACTTACTCACACTCAGACATACTCATACACAGACTTACTCATACACAGACTTACTCACACCCAGACGTACTCATACTCAGACTTACTCATACCCAGACTTACTCATACACAGTATTACTCATACTCAGACTTACTCATACCCAGACGTACACATACACAGACTTTCTCATACACAGACCTACTCATACCCAGACTTACTCATACACAGACTTACTCATACACAGACTTACTCATACTCAGGCATACTCATACTCAGACCTACTCATACTCAGACTTACTCAACACACATCAGATTGTGAGGATGTCTCAGGCGGGGCGCTGGTTTCAGCACCCCTAAGGGGAGCCGCCAGGGGTGGTTGCACGGGCTCGTTCGCGGCCATTTTGTGGGGATGTCTCAGGCGGTTTGCTTGTTTCTGGGCTCAACATCCTTCGCTTGGAGAGCAGATTGTGAGGATGTCTCAGGCGGGGCGCTGGTTTCAGCACCCCTAAGGGGAGCCGCCAGGGGTGGTTGCACGGGCTCGTTCGCGGCCATTTTGTGGGGATGTCTCAGGCGGTTTGCTTGTTTCTGGGCTCAACATCCTTCGCTTGGAGAGCAGATTGTGAGGATGTCTCAGGCGGGTCGCTGGTTTCAGCACCCCTAAGGGGAGCCGCCAGGGGTGGTTGCACGGGCTCGTTCGCGGCCATTTTGTGGGGATGTCTCAGGCGGTTTGCTTGTTTCTGCGCCCGACATCCTTCGCTTTCGGAGCAGATTGTGAGGATGTCTCGGGCGAGGCGCTCATTTCAGCACCCCTAAGGGGAGCCGCCAGGGGTGGTTGCACGGGCTCGTTCGCGGCCATTTTGTGGGGATGTCTCAGGCGGTTTGCTTGTTCCCCATATCCTAAGATGGGGTTCTTGTTCCCCATATCCTAAGATGGGGTTCTTGTTATTACTTGGACGCCTCCTACTCCTCCTTCCTCCTCCTCTTTTCTCCTCCCCTCCTGTCGGGCTTACTCATACTCAGACTTGCTCATACACAGACTTACTCATACTCAGACTTACTCATACTCAGACCTACTCATACTCAGACTTACTCACACTCAGACATACTCATACACAGACTTACTCATACACAGACTTACTCACACCCAGCCGTACTCATACACAGACTCACTCATACCCAGACTTACTCATACACAGTATTAGTCATACTCAGACTTACTCATACCCAGACGTACACATACACAGACTTTCTCATACACAGACCTACTCATACCCAGACTTACTCATACACAGACTTACTCATACACAGACTTACTCATACTCAGCACCCCTAAGGGGAGCCGCCAGGGGTGGTTGCACGGGCTCGTTCGCGGCCATTTTGTGGGGATGTCTCAGGCGGTTTGCCTGTTTCTGTGCCCAACATCCTTCGCTTTCGGAGCAGATTGTGAGGATGTCTCGAGCGAGGCGCTCATTTCAGCACCCCTAAGGGGAGCCGCCAGGGGTGGTTGCACGGGCTCGTTCGCGGCCATTTTGTGGGGATGTCTCAGGCGGTTTGCTTGTTTCTGTGCCCAACATCCTTCGCTTTCGGAGCAGATTTGGAGGATGTCTCGAGCGAGGCGCTCATTTCAGCACCCCTAAGGGGAGCCGCCAGGGGTGGTTGCACGGGCTCGTTCGCGGCCATTTTGTGGGGATGTCTCAGGCGGTTTGCCTGTTTCTGTGCCCAACATCCTTCGCTTTCGGAGCAGATTTGGAGGATGTCTCGAGCGAGGCGCTCATTTCAGCACCCCTAAGGGGAGCCGCCAGGGGTGGTTGCACGGGCTCGTTCGCGGCCATGTTGTGGGGATGTCTCAGGCGGTTTGCCTGTTTCTGTGCCCAACATCCTTCGCTTTCGGAGCAGATTTGGAGGATGTCTCGAGCGAGGCGCTCATTGCAGCACCCCTAAGGGGAGCCGCCAGGGGTGGTTGCACGGGCTCGTTCGCGGCCATTTTGTGGGGATGTCTCAGGCGGTTTGCCTGTTTCTGTGCCCAACATCCTTCGCTTTCGGAGCAGATTTGGAGGATGTCTCGAGCGAGGCGCTCATTTTCACCCCCCAGGTGGGCCAGATTTTGAGGATGTCTCGATCGGTTTGCTAGTTTTGGTGGCCAGGCTCGTGGGCGCAGATTCTTCTCAGGATGCCACAGGAGGCTCCAACAGGCTCCAGGAGGCTCCAGGAGACCACATGAGGTCCCAGGAGGCATCAGGAGGCCACAGAAAGACTCAAGAGGCTACAGGATGTCCCAAGAGGCTCCAGGAGGCCCCAGGAAGCTCCAGAAGGCTTCAGGAAACCACAGGAGGCCCCAGGAGGCAACAGGAAGCGCCAGGAGGCCTCGGAAGGCAACAGGAGGCCCCGAGAGGCCCCAGGAGCAGGAGGCCTCAGAAGGCAACAGGAGTGGCTCCAATCCCATGTGTTTTACGTATGCTCCTATCGATTGGGCCTCACCTGGAGCACGATTCTTTGATGTTCTACGTATGTTTCTATAGATGGTCCTTCTCCTGTGTACACAATCCTAAATCTTTTACTCATGTTCCTATGTATTGGGCCTCTCCTGGGGCACGAGTCCTTGGTGTTTTACTCGTGTTCCTATAGATTGCCCTTCTCCTGTGGCTCTAATCCGCATTTTGGCTCAAGCGTTCGCATGCCTGGAGCGCGGCCCGCCGTCCCTGCGATGGCCGCCGCGCGGCGGGCTAGAGGGGCTCCCGCCCCCGCGCTGGCGGCCGCCCTCGTCGAGGCGGCTGTGCGCGGGGCGGTCGCTGCGAATGCGCCGCGGCGCACTGTCGCGGCGGTGGCCCGCTCGGCGGTCTCGGCAGCACTCTTCGGGTGCTCCGAGGCGCCTGCGGCCACCGCCCGCGACCCCGCCGCTGGCGTACTTCCTGCTGACGGACCTCCTGGCGCTGCAGGCGGCGCCGACCCCGCGGCTGGTGCCGCGCGGCGTCGGCGGCGCCGTGCGCGCCGCGCTGCGCGGAGGGCGGCGGGTGCTCCCGCGCCCGCCGCTGCCGCTGGCGAGGTCATGGACATCGACGTCGTCCGTGGCGCGGACGCTGGCGACGCTGCCGCTGCCGCAGGTGCGGGCCCTTGGCCTGGCTTGGGGGCGGAGGCTGCCGCATGTGCGTCCGACCTGGACGACGACGAGTGGGCGGACGACGTTCGTCGGGCCGCCACGGTGGCGATCGTCGCGGCGCCCGCGGCTGGCGCTGGTGCTGACGGTGCCGAGGAGTCGTTGGCGGAGCTCAGGGCCCGCCTGCACTCGGCCTTCCAGCGCCTGGGGCTCCGCGAGGAGCGCCTGCCCGCTGGCCGCGCGAAGCTGCTGGCGATGATCGGCGCCCTCGAGTCCGAGGCGGAGCGGATCACGGCCACGGAGGAGGGGCGCGCGCTCGTCGGGGCGGCGCGCCACTCTGGAGCGGCTGCTGGGGGCTCCGGGGCCGGGCGCAGGCGGGGACGCGGGCCCCGCTAGCGGGGGAGCCGCCCCTTCGGGGGGTCTAGGCCCCGCTCGGCCCTACCCTTCGGCGGTGGGGCGCGCCGCGGCGGCTGCCGCGCCCAAGGCGCTCGGCGGCCTCGCTGGCTCGCGGCGGCGGCGGGCCCCGTCCTTGGCGCGGGCGGCCGCGGCGCGCGCCCTCCTCCCTCGGCTTCGCGTTCGAGGTCGGCGGCGGGCAGGGCTCTCTCTTCCTCGTGGCGGCGGGTCTCGAGGTGGAGGTGGCGGAGCCGTGCGCTGCGCACGGTTAGCGTAGACATCAAAAAAGTGGCTCTAATCCGCAATGTTTTATGTACGTCTGTTGCTATAGATTGCGCCTCTCCTGGGGCACGAAACCTTCCTAGGAGGTCCCAGGAGGTCCCAAGAGGCTCCTGGAGACCCCAGGAAGCCCCAGTAGGTTTCAGGAGGCCCCAGGAGGCCCCAGGCTCATGCACAGAGACGCGCTCGTACTACTGAGGCTCATTCACACTCCAATTCATTCGCAGTTAGATTGATGTCCAGACCGTCACAACTGAAGCCCGTTAATATTCGAAAGCTCTTGCGCCTAGACATTCACGGCGGGCAGGTCCATGCGAGTAGATGCACATATGGGGAGCTCCACGCAGTGAATAATTATTACTTGGGCGCCTCCTCCTCCTCCTCCTTCCTCCTCCTCTTTTCTCCTCCCCTCCTGTCGGACTTACTCATACTCACACTTGCTCATACTCAGACTTACTCATACACAGACTTACTCACACTCATATTTACTCATACTCAGACCTACTCATACTCAGACTTACTCACACTCAGACATACTCATACACAGACTTACTCATACACAGACTTACTCACACCCAGACGTACTCATACAAAACGTTCCTATTCGCGCGCCCTCGGCGCCCAGTGCTTTCTTTCACGCTCGCCCTTGCTCCGCCCAGTCTGGCCCCTGGGAGCAAGAGGCTCACTTCCTGCCCCGATGCCCGCGGGTGCTGCGGCTGCTGCTCCTGGCACCCCTCGCGCTGCTACTGGGGCTCCTTCACCTCGGGCATCTGGCAGCGCCGCTGCAGCTGACGGTGGTGGCGACCCACTGGCGCAGCCTGGAGCTGACCCCTGGGCCAAGCGCCCCCGCACCGCGGACGGAGGTCCCGAGCGTGCTGCTGGATCGCTGGACCCCATGGACGCAGTGCAGGCGGCCATCGCCGCATCACAGGACTTCCTCACGAAGCAATTGGACGCGAAGCTGGCCGCCATCAAGTCTGAGGTCATCGCGGACTTCGGAGAACAGCTCAAGGGCCCCCTGGCGGCGGTGGTGTCCCAGCAGGCCACGCAGAACGCTCAGTTCCGAGGTGAGATCACAGAGCTGCAGTCAACCTCCCAGCGCCTGGAGGACTCGAACAAGCAGATCTGGTCCCAACTGGCGGAGCTGCGCAAACAGCTCCACATGCAGGAGGCGCAGATACCGATCAAGGATTACGAGAACCTCCTGGAGTGGGATCGGGCCGCCGACACCAGCATCATCGTGGCCACGGCCGCGGAGAACTTCTCCCTGGAACGTTTCAAAGAGAGCATCCAGCCCATCATGGACCGCTGCGAGCTGGAGCCTGACCAGTGGTCTATACAAGGCAAAAGCCCCGCCCGTCGCTACGTGGTCCAGTTCTCAGGGGACGCCAACGCTGCGTCCCGCAAGGTGCGCCTCTTCTATTCCAAGCTCAAGAATGCGGACGGCTCATGGCTGGAGACGGAGGTGGCAAACATTCACGGTCAGAAATCCCGCCTTTTCCTGGGCCTGGACAGATCTGCGAAGTCCGCCCGCTGCGAATACCAGTCTAAGAAGTTGGCACAATTCGGCAGGGAGCACGCTCCCGACAAACGCTGGCGTGCTGACCGACAGCAGGGCATCATCTTCTGCAACAACATGCCTGTGGTCTCAGTGGTGGTGGGTGCCACGCGTGAGACACCGTCTCGCCTCCTCTTCAACTATGAGGGCTGCTCCACGCACTCGATCAACAGGGAGGCCATCAAAAAGAGCTTTGAGGACTATTTCAGGACCACCCTCGAGGAGAGGGAGGTACAGTGGCGGATTTAGCCGCACGCTCGCCCCGTGGAGGGCGGCCCACATGCACCCGCAGGTCTCCTTCACCACGTGGAACGCCCGTGCCCTCCTGTGCAACAACATGATTCAGCGCCGACGCAAGACACAGTGTATGGCGGAGGCGCTTCGCGCCACATCGGTGCTTGCTCTGCAGGAAGTTCATGGGTCACACGCTGAGCTCCAATATGCTGTGCACCTGGCCCACATCGAGGCGGCGGTCTTCTCATCCATCCCAGAGCGTGGCACTGGGGGCGTGGCCATCATCGTTCCTGGACTCCCGCAATCCGTGGCTGCCGACGAGTCCCGCTTCACGCACACCGAACTGGTCCCTGGGCGAGTGCAACGCCTCCTTATCAAGACAGTGACGGAGGCTGAGGCTCCCCATGGGTCTCTGCCGAACATGGTGGTGATCTACAACGTCCACAACTTCAGGCTGACTGCGCAGGAGGTCGACAAGGTCACGCGATCTCTTCGCGCCGAGGTGTACACTGCTGCCCAGCAGCCGGAGCGGATCACGATATTGGTCATGGGCGACTTCAACTTTATGGACGAAGCCCCGCTGGAGATGACTGCGCCCTTGGTCAACAAAGGCCTCCCCCGCCTCCGTCGCCATAACCCAGAACACCAGCTGGCTTGGGAATCGGTTCTTTCGGACATGACGGAAGTGGACCCCGAGATCCCCACGCGCTACATCGAACAGTCTCGGCAGTGCTCACGCATTGACAAAATATACATCAGCTCGCCGCCCTGGTTACTGCTACAATGGTGCGCTCGTGCTGATGTCCCACTCGCTCCTGAAGATCTCTACGATCGAGGAATTTCTGACCACGCGCCTGTCCACCTCCGCTTCGCACACCGACAGCAGGAAGATGATGGACTGCGTCAGCCGATCCCGAAGTATATCTTCGAACACCCGCTCTTCGGGCAGCACCTGGACACTCTGCTGGCATCCTCCCCGTGGCAATCCTACGTCCCGTTCACCCAACTTCGAGAACTGAAGCGCCTACAACGTGAAGCTGCTCGCCTAACCCGCGACGACCTCACCAACTCGAGAGCTCCATGTACGGCTGCTGCGCTGACAACCTGCCGATCGATTTCCCGTGCAGTATGGAGGAACGACGAGAAAGCGGCCCGCGCTCTGGCTGCGCGAACGGAGCTTGGCGCCTCCTTCCTGGACCTCTCATCTCTACCGCAGGTTTCGCTCAAGGCGCCTCTGGAGTTCAGCCGCAAGTTTGAGTCTCTGCAACAACAGTACCAAGATGAGCGATTGGAAGCACTTCACTCCCAGGAGATGGCGGCTGGCATCCATGCTCGAGAACGTCTTCGTCTTCGGAGGATGCAGAGGGCGATCACACGGCGTGGCAAGCTGTGGGCACCCTCTGGGAAGGTGCTGAAGCTCAAGGCAATCGAGGTCCTGCACGACCACTCCAAGACGTCCAACCCCGACGAGATGATTGCGGAGCTACAAAAACAGTGGGCACCCGTCTTCCAGCCGAAGCCGAGCCCCAAACAACACGTTCAACGTTACCTCGAGAAGCATGTGAAGAAATTCGACTGCTCGGACATGGGCATCCCCACGCTTGGCAAGATGCAGCACCTCATCCGCTCCCTGAACAACTCGGCTCCAGGCCCTGATGGTCTACCGTACATGGCATGGAAGAAGACGCCGATAGCTGCTCAGGTGCTTCTCAACGTCACGATCGAGATCATGAGAGGCCTCCCTGTGCCCATGGACTTCAATGAGTCGCTCTTGATCTTCACCCCCAAGGGGTCTGAACCTGAAGACCGCCAGACCGTGACAAGGCTGGCGAAGGCTACGCGTCCTCTCTCCCTCAAGAACACGGACTGCAAGATCGTGGCGGCCATGGGCAACTTCCTGATCAAGGCCATTGTGGCCAAGGACGCGCACCATGCACAGAAAGGCTTCCTCCCTCGCCGTCGCTTCATTGAGCACGTGGTCATGATGGATGCGCAGTCGAGGATAGTGTCTATGGCGCCGCAGATCTCGGAGAGAGATCCCCTGATGATGATGTTCGACTTCGGCGACGCGTTCCCCTCGATGTGCCGCCACTTCCTCCGCACTGTGCTGCTGCTGGGAGGCTTCCCCCCATCGATCCTCAACATGGTGGATGCCATCTACATGTTCCCACTGGCCTGGACCAACCTCAGCGGTCACTTGCGCATCTTCTGCTGGCTGGGCTCTGGCATCCTCCAGGGCTGCCCCTGGTCTGGGACGCTCTGGGCGGTCGGCATGGACCCGCTGATAAGGGACCTCTTCCATCGCACGCGCCACTTCAAGCAGGCCGTCATTGGCGTCTGTGCCGACGATGTGGGTTCGGTTCTCCCCTCGATGCGGATGCTGAAGCCGCTGAGCCAGGTCTTCGCCGCAGCAGAGAAGCTTGCGAAGCTCACGCTCAAGACGATCAAGTGCAAGGTGGTCCCGCTGGCCGAGGAGTTCAGCTCTGCCTTGCATGATCGGGTCCTCGAGAAGTTAAAGGCGCTGGTTCCCCGCTGGGAGCACATGCAAATCGTTCCGATGGCTGAGTATCTGGGTGTGCTGCTGGGCCCCGCGGTCACCAACGAGATGAGATGGATGAAGGTGGTCGAGGGCTGGAAGGTCGTGGCGCACTCGATCGCGGACATGCATGCCCCCACCAGCACCAGCATAATGCTCTACAACCAGCGTGCGGCGTCGAAGGCCTCCTACATGGCCCAGCTGGCGCCTTGGCCCGCGCGCCTCAGACGTCAGGAGGCTTGGCTGCTGCACCGCATCTGGCACATGCCGCCACAGTCTCTTCGACTGGCCGACATATTCAGCATCGGCCTTTGGTCTCGCCCGCTCAAGGTCGTCTCAATGGAGTACTCCACGATATCTGCTCTAGTCCGCAGTGCGAAGGAGACGATCATGAACTGGGACCTCTGGCTTCGTCGTCTGCGCATCGTGGTTCAGAATGAGCTGGAGTTCCAGCACTTCGGCAACCTGCACAACCTTGCCCCGCGGCACTGGAAGGAGCCCCCGTTCGCATGGCACCTCCGTGAGGCGGCGACGGGGTTCAAGGATCAGCCGCGCCCTGAGCCGCTGATGAAGGCCTGCCGCTCTGCTTTAGCTGCGTGGCGCACCGCCCAGCAGTCGGCAGGTGCAATCCCGCCCGGGTCCAGAACCCACCTTCAGCGTTTCGTCCACTCCCATCTCCTCTCCTCGCTCCTTGATGCCTCCTCTCTCGTCCACACCTTTCTCTCGCGGCTGAAGCTGTGGCAGTCGCCTGGGACGGAGTTGCCTGCGGATCCGATTGAATGGGAGCCCGTCTTGGAACTGCTGAAACAATTCCCACCAGCAGGACAGTCTGCCCTGATCAAAACGTGGTCAGGCGCCTGGACCACATCGCGACGACTGCGCCGATCGTCAGGAGATCAGTCCTGTGTATTTGGGTGCTCGCGAGTGGAAGACCCTGCTGCGTTTGACACCATGCCACACTATATGTCGTGCTCGCACCTTTGGCACGCTGTCTGCATGGCCTGGCATGTGCGTATCCCTGCCCCTGCATGCCTACCCACCCGACTCGGACTAAAGGTCGGAGAGTCGGGGGCCGCGCACCGCATGGCTTTTGAGCGAGTGATCATTGCTTTCCATACCTACAATATTCAGGCCAGGCTCTGCCAGGACGATTGGTCCTCCCCTGGTGCTGCTATTGCCAGTGCGAAGGCGGGGCGGGCCCTGCTTCTTCATACATATACGGTGCCCGCCTAGGCCTTTTGCCTTCTCGGACATCTCTGAACTACGAGGGACAGACTCACTCATACCCGGACTTACTCATACACAGTATTTCTGGGCTCAATATCCTTCGCTTGGAGAGCAGATTGTGAGGATGTCTCAGGCGGGGCGCTGGTTTCAGCACCCCTAAGGGGAGCCGCCAGGGGTGGTTGCACGGGCTCGTTCGCGGCCATTTTGTGGGGATGTCTCAGGCGGTTTGCTTGTTTCTGGGCCCAACATCCTTCGCTTTCGGAGCAGATTTGGAGGATGTCTCGAGCGAGGCGCTCATTTCAGCACCCCTAAGGGGAGCCGCCAGGGGTGGTTGCACGGGCTCGTTCGCGGCCATTTTGTGGGGATGTCTCAGGCGGTTTGCCTGTTTCTGGGCCCAACATCCTTCGCTTTCGGAGCAGATTTGGAGGATGTCTCGAGCGAGGCGCTCATTTCAGCACCCCTAAGGGGAGCCGCCAGGGGTGGTTGCACGGGCTCGTTCGCGGCCATTTTGTGGGGATGTCTCAGGCGGTTTGCCTGTTTCTGTGCCCAACATCCTTCGCTTTCGGAGCAGATTTGGAGGATGTCTCGAGCGAGGCGCTCATTTTCACCCCCCAGGTGGGCCAGATTTTGAGGATGTCTCGATCGGTTTGCTTGTTTTGGTGGCCAGGCTCGTGGGCGCAGATTCTTCTCAGGATGCCACAGGAGGCTCCAACAGGCTCCAGGAGGCCCCAGGAGACCACATGAGGTCCCAGGAGGCATCAGGAGGCCACAGAAAGACTCAAGAGGCCACAGGATGTCCCAAGAGGCTCCAGGAGGCCCCAGGAAGCTCCAGAAGGCCTCAGGAAACCACAGGAGGCCCCAGGAGGCAACAGGAAGCGCCAGGAGGCCTCGGAAGGCAACAGGAGGCCCCGAGAGGCCCCAGGAGCAGGAGGCCTCAGAAGGCAACAGGAGTGGCTCCAATCCCATGTGTTTTACGTATGCTCCTATCGATTGGGCCTCACCTGGAGCACGATTCTTTGATGTTCTACGTATGTCTCTATAGATGGTCCTTCTCCGGTGTACACAATCCTAAATCTTTTACTCATGTTCCTATGTATTGGGCCTCTCCTGGGGCACGAGTCCTTGGTGTTTTACGCGTGTTCCTATGTATTGCTCTTCTCCTGTGTCTCTAATCCGCAATGTTTTATGTACGTCTGTTGCTATAGATTGCGCCTCTCCTGGGGCACGAAACCTTCCTAGGAGGTCCCAGGAGGTCCCAAGAGGCTCCTGGAGACCCCAGGAAACCCCAGTAGGTTTCAGGAGGCCCCAAGAGGCCCCAGGCTCATGCACAGAAACGCGCTCGTACTACTGAGGCTCATTCACACTCCAATTCATTCGCAGTTAGATTGATGTCCAGACCGTCACAACTGAATATTCGAAAGCTCTTGCGCCTAGACATTCACGGCGGACAGGTCCATGCGAGTAGATGCACATATGGGGAGCTCCACGCATTGAATAATTTCTGGGCTCAACATCCTTCGCTTGGAAAGCAGATTGTGAGGATGTCTCAGGCGGGGCGCTGGTTTCAGCACCCCTGAGGGGAGCCGCCAGGGGTGGTTGCACGGGCTCGTTCGCGGCCATTTTGTGGGGATGTCTCAGGCGGTTTGCTTGTTTCTGGGCTCAACATCCTTCGCTTGGAGAGCAGATTGTGAGGATGTCTCAGGCGGGGCGCTGGTTTCAGCACCCCTAAGGGGAGCCGCCAGGGGTGTTTGCACGGGCTCGTTCGCGGCCATTTTGTGGGGATGTCTCAGGCGGTTTGCTTGTTTCTGGGCTCAACATCCTTCGCTTGGAGAGCAGATTGTGAGGATGTCTCAGGCGGGGCGCTGGTTTCAGCACCCCTAAGGGATGTCTTAGGCGGTTCGCTTGTTTCTGGGCTCAACATCCTACGCTTGGAGAGCAGATTGCGAGGATGTCTCAGGCGGGGCGCTGGTTTCAGCACCCCTGAGGGGGGCCGCCAGGGGTGGTTGCACGGGCTCGTTCGCGGTCAGTTTGTGGGGATGTCTCAGGCGGTTCGCCTGTTTTTGGGCTCAACATCCTTCGCTTGGAGAGCAGATTGTAAGGATGTCTCAGGCGGGGCGCTGGTTTCAACACCCCTAAGGGGAGCCGCCAGGGGTGGTTGCACGGGCTCGTTCGCGGTCAGTTTGTGGGGATGTCTCAGGCGGTTTGCTCGTTTTCATGCCCAACATCGCCGGCGGGGCTGCGCCTCCAAAAGTGGTGAAACGCGCCCTGAGGAACCAGGGTTGAGGAGGAAGAGGGGGAGGAAGAGGAGAAGGAGGAGGAGGAGGAGGAGGAGGAGGAGGAGGAGGAGGAGGAGGACTGGGCGGCAATTGAGGAGGAGGAGGAGGAGGAGGGTGAGGAGGGGGGATGAAGAGGAAAAGGCTCGCATTCAACCATACTCAAAGCTCACTCTGACTCATACGCAATCACTCGCATTAGGGGTCACTCGTCTTCGTCGGCCCTGTCGCCCACGTGGACGCGCTATTGTAGTCGACCGCTCATGAACAGACGCTCACCACGGCATGGCATAAAACATGAGATGCACATATGGGGAGCTCCACGCAGTAAGTAATTTCTTGCTCGGTCTTCTTCCAGGGCGCTTTCCCTGGCCTGCAGGGCCCGTCAGGAAGCGACTGAGGATGAAGAGATGGTCCAGGGAAGACTCCCGGGTCCAAGACCCGTGTCTATCGGGCCCCCATACGCATACTACGTTTCCCCGATTCCCCGAGGGGGGGTGCTGGAGGTTCGTTTCCGCATCCCCCGTGGGAAACTTCTGGACCCCGATGCCATTAGAGAAAACGGCTGTGGATAAAAAGTGGAGAGCTCTGGTCCGTGGGGGTGGTGCCGGGGTCCAGGGACCCGCTTCCTCCAGGATTATGTTTGCCCGGACCCCCCCGACGTGGGTGTTTTTTTGCTGGGGGGGGGCGGGGGCCCGGCATGCCCCCCCCCCCCGAGGCCGAATCGGGCCAGGCACCAGGTCGTCGTTCTGCTCGTCTCAAGGCGCGAGGGGGTCCGCCATCCCCCCCCCCCTCCTCTCGTAGAAAAACAGGCTCCGTGACTGTCCCTCACGGGGCTCTGTTTGGCCTGGCCAGCACTCAGGGGGGCAGTCCAGCGGCGGCGACGGCAGGCCGCTCCGGGGCCCGCCCAGAGGAGGAAAACGCAGCAAAAAACCTCGAGCCTCGTCCAGGCCCCGGCTTGCCCCGGGAGGCGCAGAGGGCTTTCAGAGCGCCCCTCACGAGGCCTATAAGGGAGCCCCAGGGCCCCCCCCAAAGCCTGACAGGCTGGGAGCACACAGGGCCAGGACCACTTCTGGCAGCGGCCGGCTCGAGGTCGAGGGTGCCTGTGCTGTCCGGCACAGTCTGCGCGCCCAGTGAAGACGCGCGCCTTCATCTGGGGTGCCCTTTTGGTATTTGCCTCTGCGGCCCGTCCTTCCGCCGCCCCCCCCAAACTCGACTTCGGCCTCCGAGGGCCTTGCGTCTTCGCCAGCCGCCCGTCATGCAGTGCGAAACTCCACAGCGAGGGCGGGTGACCTTCCCCCGGGGAACCCTGCGTCCCGAGACGTGCTCGGCCGCGCGCCGCTGGAAGAGCTCCAGCCGGGGCGCCCGAGGGCCGTCCCGTCCTTCCTTCCTTCCGAGCGCCACTGTGGACAGGTCTCCAAGGGCGAGCAGGTGGCACATGGGCCACGGTAGCAACGGCGTCCGCTGTGGTCACTGCCCCCTCTTTCAAGCGAAAGACGAGGGGGCCGCACAGGCCCCTCGCGCGCTCCGACCACATAATGCCTACGTGCAGACACACCGTGGCCCGCAGAGAGCGGGGTCCTGCGTCCCTGCAGCGCGTCCCGACTGCAGGTCTTGACCGTGCGCGCTGGGACTGCGGGATGCCCGCCGCTGCGGCTCGCACGTTTCTGCCGCCCTCGCGGCGAGGAGGCCGCGCCGCCGCCCGCGGAGGGCGAGGCGGCGCCCGCGGCGTGCCGCCGGCTCCAGGCCGAGGGCGAGTGCGTCGCGGGGCCCCTGGGGGCGGCGGCCGCCTGGCAGCCGGGCTGGCTGACGCGGGCCGTGGGCTCGGCGGGCGAGGCCCTCTCGCCGCACCTCGCCTGGAGTCGGGCCTGTCCCTCTACGGGAGGAGAATCCAGAAATAGTCCCAAAGTACTCAGGGGCCCCAAAGTACTCAGGGGACGTTTTTTTGAGCATTTGTGGGGTATCTTTTGACTGCGTTTTGTTTGTCGTCCAGAATCGGCCTGTAGGAGGACACGCCCGACCTAAACCTTGCCTCGATACGCCCGTTTTGATATGCAGCACGTGCAGTGCTGA